CCCGGGACCCTTCAGTCCACAGGCCAACGCTCCATCCACTGAGCCAAACCAACCAGGGCAGGAGGCAATTTTTTATTGTTTTATTGTTTAAAGTATTACATATGTCTCCTTTTCCCCTAATTGACTCCCCACCACCACTCCTGCCCCCCAGGACAAGCCCCCACCACCCCAGTGTCTGTGTCCATTGGTCATGCTAATATGCATGCATACAAGTCCTTTGGTTGATCTCTTACCCTCCTCCCCCTCGCCTTCTCTCTGAGGTTGGATGGTCGATTCAGTTTTTCTTTGTCTCTGGATCTATTTTTGTTCATCGGTATATGTTGTTCATTATATCCCACATGTGATATTTATCTTTCTCTGACTGGCTTATTTTGCTTAGCATAATGCTCTCCAGTTCCATCCATGCTATTGCAAATGGTAAGAGTTCTTTTTTTCCAGCAGCATAGTTTTCCATTGTATAGATGTACCACAGTTTTTAAATCCACTCATCTGTTGATGGGCACTTAGGCTATTTCCAAATCTTAGCTATTGTAAATTGTGAAGCTGTAGTACTACCTCATTATTCCAATAGTAGATAAGAATGCAACACTAAATGGTTATTCAACTTCCAACATTCAAGCACTTTTCTTCAATGTCCTGCTTTCAACTCATTACTCTGGATATGACTATTAATTTATTGGCTATTAATGACCTATGTACCACTGGATACCTATGGCACTAATTCTTTAGTCCAACAATTAGAGTTAAAAAGAAACAGATTTTCAGCTTCCTTCCTTCAACTAGGTGGTCTTGTTTTCTCTACTCAAGTAGTTACAAAAGTACAATTGAAAATCTATAGCAGTAACTCATTATTCCAACAAGAAAAAGAAATTTACAATTAGCAAGGATTGTTTTTTTTCTAGTTTCAAACTTTACTTATTCTACTTATCTCTAGTTATCCATATTTACCTTTATATTTAGTTAACATCTATTATTTATTGTAATATTTTATGATATTTTTGCAATAAATATTTGCATCATTCTTCCATGAAAATAAATGATTCTAGTAATGAGAAGTATGTGTTTTCCTCTTTAGGGGTTAAGTACTTTCCTGATTATGTCTAGTGAAATATTTACCATGGGTTATCTCATTTCAAGAAGAAGTACAGGGATACCTCACTTTATTGTGCTTTGCTTTATTGAGCTTCACAGATGTTTTTTATATATTGAAGGCTTGGCCCTCCACCAGCAAAAATTATGATAATTCACTTTATTGTTGTGGTCTGGAACCAAATACTCAATATCTCCAAGGTAAGCCTGTAATAAGTTGCACTTATTGAGAAGAATGTGTTTTCAACATCCTGACTTCAGTTAGTTTCTAGGTTCCTCCCACCCCATTTTTCTCTGTTATCCTCCTGTTGCTTAGGTACCACAAATTATATTACTAGCACGTTATTTTCATGATAAATAAGATGTTGGATTGAGAAAAAATGTATTTTTCAGCTTCCTGCCTTCTCCTACTCATTCAGATATCTAGTTATCTCTATATACTCTAGTTATTTACAACATAGGATTGTTAAAAGGACTAACTGTGTTAATATAAACAAATCACTTAGACCAGGGGTGGGCAACCTTTTTGTGAGTGCGTGCCAAAACCAGCAAAATCTCTGACTCAAAATTCTTCTGCGTGCCAACCCTAATTTTTTGAGAACATGTTACGCCTACTTGATATCTCTTAAGGTGTACGTATGTGAAGAACCTTGAAGAAATAATAAAATTCATTCGAGCGACAAAAACACAGTATATGATGATGAAAAATACATCTATTTTTTAATGTATACATGTACACTGATAGTCCGACAGAAAACTTTATGACTCCGTTTGATATTATCAGTGGGACTTTTGCTGCTGCATCACTGATGACAGAGATTTTACATCAGGTTTATATTTCGTGACCTTCAGAGATATGCACGAGCTACTACTTTCATCCGTCAGGCTACTCCTGTTACAAAACTTAACAAAATTCATCACTGAGAACAAAGATTCACAAGCGTATGTGGATGAAACCAAAACACTGGTCGGATCTAGGAAGGCAGGGAGAGTTAAGGCAGAGGCATAGAAATTGCTCTTCCCCTCTCTCATCAATCCATGTCTACGGTCTTTAAGATAACTTGTTATGTAAAACTATTTATTTATCTAAGATGCACGTACACTGAATTTATCTGAAAAATAAAAAAGTCGATATCAAGACAAAATTGTAAATGGAATATTATAAGAGAGGGTTTCGCGTGCCAGCAAAAGTTACTGGTGTGCCATGTTTGGCACGCGTGCCAGGGGTTGCCCACCCATGACTTAGACTATTGCCTGGAACACAGTAAGAACCGGCTAAGTGTGGGTTACTGTTGTTATCTCAATTCATTTTCACAACCCCATGAGGTAGATACTATTATGACGGCAAGTTCACAGATGAGGAAACTGAGACACAGGAAGGTAAAGCAATTCACCAGATTAGCCAGCTAGCAAAAGCAAAGCAAAGCTGGGTTGCAGGCGCCCGCAGTGGGACTCCAAGTAGTCTCCTAATTTATCATTTCATCTGAATTACTAGCCCGATTCATGAATTTTGGGGGAGAACCGACCAGAACCAGAGAGTCCCATCCATTAGTTAACCGACTTCCGGGAGGGGAGAGTGGTGCTTAGGGCCCACGGGACAAGGTAGACTGCCATAGCTCCAGGGGCTCAGCGCTTTCTTCAGCCCTGACTCTGACCTAAGGGCAACAAGCCCAGCGCCCACTGGCGGGCAGGAGGGCCAGACGGAGAGGCTTCTCGGGTGCCTGTGTGGTTCCGTACGCTCAGCCTCTCGCCCCGCCCCAGGTCGGCTTGCACTATTCACCAAAGTTCCTTCCTCAGGACAGTGCCCAAACCCAAATCTAAGTAGTCAGCTAAACTGCAAGGTAGAGCCCTCACATGCACACTCCTACTCACACCCTTCTGGCAAGCACCCATTCCTGTTACGGCCACGCCCTGGTTGCGTTTGCATCCCAGCAGGTCCCACCAGCGGCAGCACTGCTTGGACCAGGAGCCAGAAAGAGGACCCGAGCCAGGGATCGCCACAGGCTGGCGTACAGAGTCGGCGCTCAAGACGTGGAGCCTTCCCCGGTGAGCAGCCTTGAAGACCCCGGTTACGGATGTCTGAGAGTCGATGAGCTCCGGGAAGAGCTGCATGGACAGTGCCTGGACCGGGACAGTTGCTTTGGTGAACTCCAAAAAACGAACTTTTCCTAGGAAACAAGTAGACCGGCCGCTCTCTTACTTCATTTCTTGGTCCTCACCCATGGCCAATTGTTTTTAGACAGAAGATATCCAACATAGTTATACAACAAAAATTAATCCATAAATATTGAAAGTAAAACTAAACAAATGAATCTGTGTATTAAATTAATGGCATAGTCACACAGAGAGAAACACTTTTATGTCAGTTTGAGATACAGTAATTTCATCATGCATCCCTAGTGGGGGTATGCCCTAAGGATAAAAAAATCTTCAACTCTTTTTAGTAATTGCTGTATTTCATTAGTGGTAATGTTGGTATTTTTACACTGACGCTGCTATATGTGCATTGTGGGATAAAACAAATGAGTAATTGTACTGGGAACATTGAGAGCTGGAATATTTGTGAGGAAAACAAGGAAATACAAATATAAGATTATTAAGGTTAAATAAAATCTCTGTAGTCCTGAGTGGAAGTACAAATGTGAATAATTCATGGTGTGTTTTATCTCCAAATAAGATTCTACCTCTCTTCACCAATGGGGGAAGGGGAAGATATCCAACAGTGTGGTCCACTTTTTCCATTTAACATTATGTCCTACATCTTATCTTTAAATTCCAAAAAAAAGGAGGTTCCCAATAATTAATGGCATTAGCTTTCACAGTCTGATAAGTTATGTCTTAGGAGCAAAGGCCCAGAGGCCATCTAGCTACTAGTAGAATGGATCCAGAATTTCCACAACAAACTCACAGTGTCTTCAAAAATTAAAGTCTGTAGGATTAGTGTTCCAATTTAAAAACAGTGTAAAATGAATAGAAATAATGATAATTGACCATGTATTGCCTACCTAGTATATGATGGGACTAGTTTAAGGGGCCGGACAAGGAGGCGGGGTTACAAATTCCTTTTGCTGGAGTAAATTGGTGGAGGTGGATGTCTGGGGGGGAAATATGCAATTTTTCTCTAGGCTGCAAATTTAACTGGAGTGTATTAGGATCGAGTCATTAACATAGTCTATGTTATAGACTGTGTGCCCTCTAAGCTAATTGGGCAATATGGGGCTTAGGAATCATAGCTAACCACCAATTAAGATAAACCTTACCTATTTTGCTTGTGATTGGAAACAGAAAATTGTGTGTGTGTGTGTGTGTGTGTGTGTGTGTGTGTGTGTGTTCGTGCGTGTGCGCGCGCAAGCGCGAGCACGCAGGCGCAAGCGCAGGCGCCTACATACATACACATATACACAAACATGTAAAATTACATGGGTTTGTTGTTCATACGGCCGCTGAGTGAAAAGTGTGCTGTGGCCTGTCGTCTCGTCCTTCTCTTCAGGTATTTCAATTTGAGGATGAAGAAAAGACAAGGTGCCGAAACTGGTTTGGCTCAGTGGATAGAGCGTCGGCCTGCGGACTGAAGGGTCCCAGGTTTGATTGCGGTCAGGGGCATGTACCTTGGTTGCCGGCACATTCCCAGTGGGAGATGTGCAGGAGGCAGCTGATCGATGTTTCTCTCTCATTGATGTTTCTAACTCTCTATCTCTCTCCCTTCCTCTCTGTAAAAAATCAATAAAATATTAAAAAAAAAAAAAAAAAAAAAAGAAAGAAAGAAAAGACAAGGTCTCCAGTCCAGTTTAGAATCGAGCAACCTCGCTCGGAACCGGAAGGATGCACGGACCCGGTTTCCCCACCGGCTTCTTTATACCGATACACACACCTCCTCCCGTAGGCAGCGCTAGCTAAGTCTGGGGAAGGTATTTGCTGATGTACCCGGAACTGTTTCCAAGGTTTTCTCAGGTTCTGGTTGTGGCGTGGTGATAGGTTCTGGGACCCAAGACAGCCGTTATCTTCCCAGGTTAGCGAGATAACCCCCTCCCCCCCGGCCTCGGGGACCCAGCGGCAGTGATGTCTCCGGTGTCTCGCTCGCGCAGCCCGGAGAGGGAAGCCTCGGGCTCCAGGGTGAAACGCCGCAGTTCGTCGAGGAGCCCTAAACCCAGCAAATCTACCCGCTCCCCGCGGGGCCGCCGCTCTCGCTCGCACTCTTGCTCTCGGTCTGGGGATCGGAATGGCCTCAGCCATCAGACAAGTGGCCTCAGCCAAGGCTCCCGAAACCAGCCCTACCGCTCCCGCTCGCGGTCACGCTCTCGAGAGCGGCCTTCTGTGACGCGGGGCACCCCCTTCGCTTCTGCCACCTCGTCTGCCTATTATGGCGGCTACTCACGCCCCTACGGGAGCGACAAGCCTTGGCCTAGCCTCCTGGACAAGGAGAGGGAGGAAAGCCTGCGGCAGAAGTGAGTGAGACGGACACACCCTCTTGCCCCCACCTCCCTTCCTAGTTGATTTATAGTTCATCTCTACTGACTATTTGCATTTCGCTCTTTCTGCCTGCCTTGCGCCCATTTTCATCCCTTCAGTCCTCCCACGACAACACCTTATTCGCTCTTTTCTTCCCTTAGGTTTTCACTCATCCTCAGGGCCCTTTATACAGTGCCCTGGTCTCCCGCCACTCCCTTCTGCCTCCTGACATGTAGCGACATGGCCAGGAGCCTCAGAACTACTGGAATTATATAGCATTTACTTGGTTGCGCGGTTATCATTCATGAGCATGTTTTTATTTCCCAGTAGGCTGACCTCTTGGGAAGGAGAAGCCCTATTTTATTGATTACAAAATTTGCAGTACTTTGTAGAAACGCAACCATTGCTTGTTGAATGATCAGACAGGTTTAAGATGATAACGGGATATGTAAGTGGAAATGTTTTATAGCGAGTTGGAAAGGATTGAGATTAAGGGTTTAAATTGAAGAGAAAAACTTCTGAGACAAGATAATTAAATGAATGTAGAAAAAGTGACCTGCTAAACTGTAGATTAGGCTATGTTGAGAAAGGTCTTGTTAAGTGTTCTCAATCTTGACCATGAAAAGTAAGGTCAGGGTGAGATCAGGTCTCTAATGAGAGTGAGTATTAGAGTGGGAAAAATGGTAGTTTAAAAAGTAGAAAGAAAAGGGGTTATAATTATTACTAAGCCTTAATATCAAATGCTTACTGAGTGTTAAACTACGTGTCAGGCACTTTTAAAGTATTAAAGTCATTGAGGCTAAGGTTATAACAGCTGGGAGATGTCCCCATGAATTGTTTTCTTCCAGGAGTGGGAAGTCCATAAAGCACAGGCTCCAGGATCAGACTGCCTGAATTTGAAGCACTTCTTTGCTACTTAATAGTTGTGTGACCTTGGGCAAGTTAGTTAACCTCTATGAGCTTCATTTCTTCACTATTTAAAAGGGATAAAATTAGCACAGTTGCTTTTAGAGTTGTCATAATTTAGTGCTCAGAACATAATAGTAGTTCTTAAGTGTTAGATATTAGGTTTTCCTGCATGGGAACAGAAAGAGTAAAAATGGTCCTGAGTTAGGTTGGAGACCTCCTCTCCAAATTAAGTTTTTCAAAAAGTGATCCTAAGGTTGCATCAATCAAAAAGCAACCAGCTTCTTACTAGACAATCCTCCCAAAAAGATTTTGGAACTCCTTGTATGAAATTTGCCTTTGTGCATTTAGAAGACAAATAATTTATCTTAAGAGAACAGATGGCAGCAGGGGTGAGAATTTAACTGCTTGCTCTTTACAGCCTATCAGGCATTCTTCCCCCACCCCCCATTGCATTATATCCCAAGTTCAGTTATAAGTATGTTCCTTTTTAGACTGTCTGTCAGGTAGGAAACCTGACTCTGACTGCATGATTATAATGTCTCTTTCCTTGAATAAAGAAGTAAAAAATAGTTTATTTAAACAATCAAATGAATTATATTTATATTGTAAGGTGGTGTTTTTTTTAATGGAGTCACAAGCAGCTAAACTTTGAGGAACTGAGCCTTATTTTTTTTGTTTTATTTTTAAATATATTTTTATTGATTTCAGAAAGGAAGAGAGAGAGAGAGAGAGAGAGGGAAACAAACATCAGTGATGAGATAGAATCATTGATTGGCTGCCTCCTGCACACTCCCTACTGGGATCAGGCCTGCAACCCAGGCATGTACCCTGACCAGAAATGGAATCATGACCTCCTGGTTCATAGGTCGACGCTCAACCACTGAACCACGCCAACTGGGAGAGCCTTAGTTTTTTTGTATTTTGTTTGCTTGTTTATGAGTAATAACAAAAATTAAGAGAAGAAATCACAAACATAAAACAAAAAAAATTTGTGACCTCCAAGAGTAGATAGATATGTACTTCTTTTCAAAAAAAAAAAAAAAGAACTAAAAGGAAACCAGAAAGAAAACAAACCCTGTATCTCATTGAGTACAGTTTTTCTCCACTAAAACTTTTGTTTTCAGAGCTTCCTTTATTTTCTACTTCTAATGCTTCATTTTTATTTTCTTCATTAATTCTTGACTTTCAGCAAATGGAAGGTTTGACCAAACAAAAATAAAAGCTCTTTATTTTCATAAATGTGTGTAAACAAATGAAGTATTTCCAAATGTAAAACTGTTTCTGTCATATACTAGTATTGCAGAAGATAAAATGAGCAGTTGGGAGCTATGTCATGTATGCAGCAGAAAGGATGCACTTGATAGGCTCCCAGGCTGCATTTCTGGCCCAGCCTCTCAGGCTGTTTGTGGTCTGTACCATTTGAAAGTACTATCAAAACATCAGATCATAATTGTTGAGTTTATATTTAAACCAAATTTTTGTTAATTTAAAGTTTAAAATGAAAAGGGAAAATAGGACTCAACTGGACTCCTTGGAATTTGATTATATATTTAGGAAACATAATTTATTATTTTTTTTTCTTTTTATTTTCTTAAAGTAATACAAAGGGTATTACATATGTGTCCATTCCCCCCCCCCCCGCCCTAGACAGTCCCCTAGCCTCCCCTACCCCCCAGTGTCTTATGTCCATTGGTTATGCTTATATGCATGCATACAAGTCCTTCGGTTGATCTCTTACCCCCCTACCTCCTGCCCCCCAACCCTCCCCGGCCTTCCCGCTGCAGTTTGACAATCTGTTTGAGGCAGCTCTGCCTCTGTATCTATTATTGTTCATAAGTTTATAATGGTCTCTAGTATCCATGAATGAGTGAGATCATGTGGTATTTTTCCTTCATTGACTGGCTTATTTCACTTAGCATAATGCTCTCCAGTTCCATCCATGCTGTTGCAAATGGTAAGAGTTCCTTCTTTTTACAGCAGCATAGTATTCCATCGTGTAGATGTACCACAGTTTTCTAATCCATTCATCTACTGATGGGCACTTAGGCGGGAAACATAATTTATTTATGGAGTTGTAATTTACATGCCTGTATCTTCTAGGAGATTAAGTGAAAGAGAGAGGATTGGAGAATTGGGAGCTCCTGAAGTATGGGGACTTTCTCCAAAGAATCCAGAACCAGAGTAAGTGATTTAAAAATCTTTTTTTTAATTTATCATTTGTTTAAATCCAGTCTGTTGTCAAATTTTTTGTTAAGTGAAGAACTTGAAGTACAGCTCACATTTTTCTCCTTTCATGTGATTTATGCTCTTCTACCCCTTAAGTTTTAAAACATTGAACATACCTAAAGATTAAAATACGTTGAGAGTGCATTGGCATGCCGATAAGTTTTTTTAAATTGTTATCCACGGGTTGCTAATTTCCTAATCATAGAAGGGTTCAGTGTTAAAACAAATACATTTATATTATTTCTTTTTTAATTTAAAATTTTTATTGTTGAAAGTACTACATACAAGAGCTTTGGTTGATCTCGTACCTACCACCCCTCCCACCCTCCCCTGCCTTTCCCTCCGAGGCTCGACAGTCTGTCCGATGCTTCTCTGTCTCTGGATCTATTTTAGTTCATCAGTTTATGTTGTTCATTATAATCCACAAATGAGTGAGATCATGTGATATTTATCTTTCTCCAACTGGGTTATTTCGCTTAGCATAAATGCTCTCCTGGTCCATCCATGCTGTTGCAAATGGTAAGAGTTCTTTTTTTTTTTTTTTTCTTTCAACAGCATAGTATTACATTGCATAGATGTAGCACAGTTTTATTTTTTTTCTTTATTGATTAAGGTATTACATACATGTCCTTATCCCCCAGTTGCCCCCCCACCCCACCCCCCACTCATGCCCTCACCCCCCTGGTGTCTGTGCCCATTGGTTAGGCTTATATGCATGCATACAAGTCCTTTGGTTGATCTCTTCCTCTTACTCCCACCCTAGTTTCATTTTTTCACATGTATCTGTTCAATTTTCCCAACATCATTTATTGAAGAGACTGTCTTGACTCTATTGTATGTTCTTGCCTCCTTTGTCAAATATTAATTGAGCACAATGACTTGGGTTGATTTCTGAGTTCTCTATTCTGTTCCATTGGTCTATATGTCTGTGCCAGCACCAGGCAGTTTTGAGAAGAGTGGTTTTGTAATATGGCTTGATATCTGGTATTGTGATCCCTCCAACTTTGTTGTTCTTTTTCCAGATTGCTGTAACTATTTGAGGTCTTTTTTTATTCCAGGTGAATTTTTGGAGAGTTCGTTCTAGGTCTTTGAAGTATGTCCTTGGTATTTTAATGGTGATTGCATTGAATCTATAAATTGCTTTGGGTAATATGGACATTTTAATGATGTTGATTCTACCAATCCATGAACACGGTATGTTCTTCCATTTGGTTATGTCTTCCTCTCTTTTTTCAATATCCTATAGTTTTCTGAGTACAGGTCTTTTACATCCTTAGTTAAGTTTATTCCTAGGTCTCTTAATTTTTTGGTGGAATGGTAAATGGGATTGTTGTTTTTTTAGTCTCTCTTTCTGTGAGTTCATTATTGATGTACATAAAAATGCCATAGATTTCTGGGCGTTAATTTTGTATCCCGCTACATTGCCAAATGCACTTATTAAGTCTAGTAGTTTTTTGATGGAGCCTTTCAGGTTTTCTATGTACAACATGTCACCTGCACATAATAATATTGTACCATCCTTGCATCCCCGGTATAAATCCCACTTGGTCATGGTTTATGATCCTTCTAATGTAATGCTGGATCAGATTTGCCAGAATTTTGTTGAGGATTTTAGCATGTACTAGTATGTACATCAGGGATATTGGTCTGAGTTCTCTTTCTTTGTGGTGTCTTTATCTGGTTTTGGAATTAAGATAATGCTGGCTTCATAGAAAGAGCTTGGAAGTGTGCCTTCCTCCTGAATTTTTTGGAATAGTCTGAGGAGAATAGGTTTTAGTTCTTCTTTGAATGTTTGGTAGAACTCCCCTGAAAAGCCATCTGGACCAGGGATTTTGTTTGCTGGAAGTTTTTCGATTACTGCTTCAATTTCATCGGTAGTTATTGACCTATTCAGGTTTTTTTATTCTTCCTGATTGAGTTTTGGGAGCTTGTATTTTTCTAAGAATATGTCCATTTTGTCTAGATTGTCCAGTGTGTTGAAGTAGAGTTGTTCGTAGTGTTTTTTTACAATCCCTTTTATTTCTTTTGGTTCTATTGTTACTTCACCTTTCATTTCTGATTTTGTTTATTTGGGGCCTCTCTCTTTATTTCTTGGTGATCCTGGATAGAGGTTCATCAATCTTGTTTATCCTTTCAAAGAACCAGCTCATGGTTTTATTGATCTTTTGTATTGTTTTTGTTGTTGTTGTTGTTTTTTTCTTTCTTGGTCTCTATGTCATTTATTTCTGCTATGATCTTTACTATTTCCTTCCTTCTGCTTACTCTGGGCTTTTCTTTTTGCTCTGTTTCTAACTCTTTGAGTTGTAGGGTTAGGTAATTTATTACCATTTTTTCTTGTTTTTAGAGCTATGAACTTCCCTCTCAGGACTGCTTTCACTGTGTCCCATAGATTTTGGATTGTTGTGTTTTCATTGTCGTTTGTTACCAAGATGCTTTTTATGTCTTCTTTGATCTCTTTGGTAACCCGTTCATTTTTCAATAGAATGCTATTTAGCCTCCAAGTGTTTGATTTTTTTTCATTGTTTTTATTGTAGTTGATTTCTAATTTTATGCCATTGTGATCTGAGAAGATGCTTGATAGGATTTCTATCTTCTTGAATTTGAAGACATTTTGCCTGTCTCCCAATATGTGGTCTATCTTTGAAAATGTCCCGTGTGCACTTGAGAAGAATGTATATTCTGTAGCTTTGGGGTGAAATGTTCTGAAGATGTCAATTAATTCCATCTGATCTAGTGAGTAATTTAGGATTTCTGCTCCTGTGCTGAGTTTTTTGTTTAGAGGATTTATCCAGTGGTGTCAATCCAGGGGTATTAAAGTCCCCTACTATGACTGTATTGCTGTCAATCTCTCCCTTTATATCTTCCAGAAGTTTTTTTTATGTATGTTAGTGCTCCTGTATCATATGCATATATGTTTACCAAAGTTATATCCTCTTGTTGAATTGCTCCCTTTAGTATTATGAAGTGGCCTTCCTTATCTCTTGTTATGACCTTCACTTTGAGGTCTATTTTGTCAGATATGAGTATTGCAATTCCAGGTATTTTTTTTTATTTTAATTCACCTGAAAAAAATTTTTTTCCATCCCTTCACTATGAGTCTGTGTGAGTCCTTTGTTCTGAGGTGGGTCTCTTGTAGACAACAGATATATGGGTCATGTTTTCTTATCCATTCAGCTACCCTATGTCTTTTTATTGGAGCATTTATTCCATTTATGTTTAAGGTTATTAGTGATAGGTACTTGTTTGTTGCCATTTTGATTCTTTATGCCTGTGTTCCTTCTTACCTCTCTAGTTCTTCTTTTTACAGCAGTGTCTAGCATTTCTTGCATTGCTGCCTTGGTGATAATAACCTCCTTAGCCTTTTTAGGTCTGTGAAGCTCCTGATTTCACCTTCAATTTTGAATGATAGCCTTGCTGGGTTTAATATTCTTGGATTCAGTCCCTTGCTTTGCATGACTTTGTATACTCCATTCCATTCCCTTCTGGCCTGATGTGTTTCTGTTGAGAAATCAGTTGATAGTCTAATTGGAGATCCCTTGTAGGTAACTTTCTGACTCTCTCTGGCAGCCTTTAGGATTCTTTCTTTGGCCCTAGTTGGTTTGGCTCAGTGGATAAAGCGTCTGCCTGTGGACTGAAGGGTCCCAGGTTTGATTCCAGTCAAGGGCACATGCCTAGGTTGCAGGCTTGACCCCCAGTTGGGGGCATGCAGGAGGCAGTCTATCTCTCATTGTTGATGTTTCTATCTCTCCCTATCCCTTCCTCTCTAAAATCAATAAAAATATATATTTTTTAAAAAGATTATTATTACTTTGTTGTTGATGTTTGCCAATTTAATTACCATGTGTCTTGGTGTCAGTCCTTCTGGGTTCATCTTGTTTGCGACTCTGTGTGCTTCTTGGACTTATGTGACTTTTTTCTTCCCAAAGTCAGGGAAATTTTCTGTCATTATTTCTTCAAACAGGTTTTCTAGTCCTTGCTCAGCTTCCTTTCCTTCTGGCACCCCTATTATGCAGAAGTTTGTTTTATTTCATGTTGTCCCAAAACTCCCTAAGGCTCTCCTCCTGCTTTTTGTGTTTTTTCCAGTTGCTTCTTTGCTTGGGTGTTTTTCTACCTTGTCTTCTAACTCGACAATGGGGTCCTCAGCTTCTTCTAGTCTCCTGTAGAAACCTTCCATTGTGTTCTTTAATGCAGCTATGCCATTCTTCATTTCTTTTTTTTTTTTTTTTTTTAAATATATTTTATTGATTTTTTACAGAGAGGAAGGGAGAGAGATAGAGAGTTAGAAACATCGATGAGAGAGAAACATCGATCAGCTGCCTCCTGCACATCTCCTACTGGGGATGTGCCCGCAACCCAGGTACATGCCCTTGACCGGAATCGAACCCGGGACCCTTCAGTCCGCAGGCCGACGCTCTATCCACTGAGCCAAACCGGTTTTGGCCATTTCTTCTTGATTGTTACATGTGTTGGTGAATTTGTCATCCAGCCTTTTCAGCATCCTTATAAACATTGCTCTGAATTGGTTCTGACAAATTGCTTGCCTCTATCTCGTTTATTCCCTTTTCTGATGGTTCCACATATGAGTGAAATCATGTGATTCCTGTCTTTCTCTGACTGACTTATTTCACTTACATGATAAGCTCCAGGTCTTTCAATGCTGTCTCAAAGGGTAAGAGATCTTTCTTTTTTACTGCTGCATAGTATTCCATGGTATAAATGTACCACAACTTTTTTGTCTACTCATCTACTGATGGGCACTTGGGCTGTTTCCATATCTTAGCTATTGTAAATTGTGCTGCTATGAACATAGGGGTGCATACATTCTTTCTGATTGGTGTTTCAGGTTTCTTAGGATATATTCCTAGAAGTGGTATCACTGGGTGAAATGGTTCCATACATAATATTCTGAGGAAACTCCATACTATTTTCCATAATGGCTGCACCAGTCTGCATTC